CCTTTCCTTTTAGACTGACATTTTCTTCATTTTTTGTCTGTAGCCATAATTCACTGATATAGCAGTTTAAGGCTTTCTTTTGCAGTTGCTTAAATTAATCATTAGTTAAAAAAAAGACAATGCATTTTGCACTAAAAGAACATACTTTTAGCCACCAAAAATCCCAAACTGTGTCGACCTTTTTAAAAAAAATGTAAAAAATATAAAAAATCCGATTTAAATTTAAAAAATCTGATTTAAATTTTAAAAATCGATTTTTTAAATTTTTATTTTAAAAATCAACAAAATCACCAACCCTGCACACTAAGCTATAACACCTGTCTTAGACGGCCACCTTAGTGACTCCATTATGTTTTGTCATAAATTGTGCCTTAGCCAATGGCGTTGTGGGCGAGCCATCATAATTCAATCACCTGTCGTTGTTGTTAGATATTCCTTCCAACAGATCATGTTGCGTAGGTCCCTCCCACTGTTGAGCAATAGGTACCCGGTAACAAATTTTCAGCTGCTGGTGAGGTAAGCGTGTGATCCTTCATAACCAATAGCCATAAAGCCCTGCCCAGAATACACAAGTCGTAAGTGAGATGAGTGGTCACTGTTTACCCAGCCGGTAACAAAGAAACAATGGACGTCAACATGAACTTGTGACAGAAGCATCGCTCGTTCTCTGAGTGGTGGCGACCCGTGTGTTTGTTTTACCATAGCACTCGGTCCTCCTTGTCTGACACATTTAGTTTTATTGTCCCCCTTGCACAAAAGCAGCAACAAAAGAAAAAAAAAGAAGAAAAAACCCAGCGAAAACAACAACAGCAATAACAACAACAACAATGTGGCTATCTTCGGTTGGCACTTCAGAAAGGAATGGTTTGTTTTCGTCTTGATCAGTCCTCCCTAAGATGGCCACCTGTCTTATACGGCCACTTTTCTCCTTGACAATGGGTGACCGTCTTACACAGGTTCGACTGTACTTTGGAAATGTTTTTTAGGTGTTATTTGTTCAAACTTCATTCACTTCTGAATGTGCATGTCACTTTTCATTGATTATAATAAAGTAATCATTTGCAAAGTTAAAGGTGTTTTTTGTGGAATTAGCTGGGCTTGGAAATTGTTACGATGCAGTCACAAACTAGAAAAATGTCTGATTGCCAAACAGCTCTTTTCTTTTAAACTATAAAAATCCAATTGAACAGATCCTCCGAGGAGAAAATTTATAGTCATACTATGTTCTGGGTCATTTTTGGTGTTTCGAAGCAAACTATTGCATTTTCTATCATTCTTACCAGCCGATGACACCGGACACTATGCAAACTTGCCCATCTCACTGGCCAGTGCCACTGTCCACTCAGAGACAAGGGCTTAATGTGAACACTTATTTCGAAAACAGTGGTACACCTAAAACAATTTAAAGGGTTATACCATATTCACTTGCAACCCTAAAGTAAGAGTAACCCTAATCATCAAGTCTTCTGTGCGTCAAGATAATGAAACAACGGACAGTTCAAACAGGAAAACGCACAGGCTTCAACTGTGGGTAAGAGAGGCATCGCCAGTGTACAGTAGTCTCCGCCTAAACGCATGCCATACAAAAGCACGCTCCGCTCAAACGCACGCTTTCGTCATCTGACGGGTTTTATACAATATAATTTAGACTTACAAACGCACGGTCACTCCCTCTAAACGCACGCTCCGATCCGCGAAACTCGCCGACAAGTTAAGCTTGGCAAGGGGAAATTTCCACTACAGCCTGCACAGCCTGCATAAGACAGGCCTAGAATTTACTAGAAAACCGGATATTTGGTGAGAGTGCCCCTCACGCCGTACAAAGAGAGTGATGGACAGCGTCTACACACCCTACTTTCCACTGATGCACAGGTCTCGGTCTAGGGCTGGTGGGTTAATAAATGTGTGTGTGTGGGGGAGGGGGGGGGGACTGAAATGTTTTTTGATTGGTCACTGGAAATGTATCTTAAGGTTTCTGACTGGTGTTTGAGTTTGAGTGACCGCATGTAATGTTTAGTTAGATCTAGGCCTGATGCACAACATGCGTAAAACACTAGACAGGCCTCTATAGGATTAAAGATTAGCCAAATAAACCTACTAAGCTGCGCTCGAAGAACTAGAGAAAATGTTTCTCGAGGATGATTCTGCATGAATTTACGGTCGGGAGTGGTCGCTTGGAAAGCCATGTGGCTGGTCCGTCGTCGCTATGACTATCACCAACAGTTTCCTTTTAGGCTTTCCTTTCCCGACGTTTATAGAGCATATTCATTACATTGAGTTTGTCTCCCCCCCCACTCCATTCAACGCCGTTGTACTCTTAACCCCTGTCGGGGAATCCTTCACAAAACAGTCACGTGTCGTCACATTATCTGCCAAAATAAATGACCCCCTCCTCCAAGGGAGATCACTGGAGTAATAATGAATTGAGATGACTGAGTCCCTTCCTCCCCTTGCAAAGGTTCATGTAAACGCATGCTCCGTATAAACACGCTAAGGAGCCCTCCCGAGCACCGTTCGTTTAGGCGGAGACTACTGTACTGTTTGCCCCGAGAACGCACAGGCTTCAACTGTGGGTAAGACAGGCATCGCCAGTGTACTGTTTGCCCCCGTTTATCACACATGTCAGAAGGCCTATGCACTTTGATTAGGCTTTGTAACCCAAGAATAGAGAATGTACATTTGTCACATGACCTTTGGTTGGTCTTGGTCTATTGTCTCTGCGAAGTTAGCTCACACAGGCGCTGCACAAGTAAATTAATATGGCAGCACATTGTGTGGTGTGTTTCTTAACGTCACTGGCATTTGGCTTTTTTTCTCACTTTTCAATCTACTCTTTAGTCTGTTCTGTGTGACTGTACGGCAGATTTGAAAGGAAGCAGACAATGTTGAAAAGAAAGCACAATGCATCCAATCTTCATCTCAAATTGCAGTGTTATCAACTTAAAGAGGTAATTGAGAAAACTTTTCAAAAAGTGAAATTTGCCGCAAGCATGGTATTTCCAACACTGGGCTGTCGACAATCATTACTATTTGAACAACATTTCAAAACCGAAAACCCAGCCAAACCGAAGAAAGTCTGGCGATCTCAAAGATACAGGTTGAAGCAGATGTAATGTACTAGATTCTGTCAGTGCCGAGGATACTGTGTTATAACGCAATTGTAACTTTTCTTCATTTATTACATTACTGCAGTCTGCAATTGTATCTTAAATCACTACAAGACATAACGATGGTACTTAAGATAGCTCTTTTATATATGTAACTTGTGTCTTCGTTGAGCTGTTACTTGTTCTAAAAATTTGTTTTTAAATTTTTTATTTTTTAAACCAGGAAATGGCATCTGATTATGACCCTGGAATATTGGGTGTGGTCGTTCCACAGAAATGCAGTAAGTTATTATGTTATTATACTGCTTTCTCTGTTGTCCCATTCTTATGAAATATCTTTGTTTTGCTTTTCTCTTATTGTGGGGATTTTATATATAGTTGTGATTTTATAGGCAGTATCTATGATGCTGCCTTTAGTCATAGTCTTAGTTTGATAGCCATTGAGCTTACAATGCCATCAACCCAATGCTAATTCAATATTGTTGCTGGTTTTAACTCTTTTTAACCTGACAGTTCTCCCATAATCTCTGTACCCATTCAAGGGCCACCACACTGTGTGAGTTGGAATTCAGGGTGTATTTCCCAAAGTGCTGTATTTTTTATATTTACTCTTAGATTTGAATAAAATTTGGCAATTACATTGGAAACTGAATGTAGTTTCTTAAAAAAAACCAATGTATGTGGATAGGAATTACACCAATTGCACCATGTTGTTTTTTAGGTGTATTCCACCCTCCATTTGTGTCTGTCACATCTTGACCTTGATTGCCACACCCCCTTCTTTCACCACAACGTCCCCTTGGATTTACAGATCTACTGCATGAATTCATTATGATCTGAATTACTACTGGATGAGTCTAATTCCTGTTCATTATCATTCACGGGGTCGTTACAAGGAGCCATTAAACAGCCAAAGAAAAACTCCAACTAAAGATAGGAAATGAAAATCTCCCCAAAGAAGAACAAGCAGCATACCTAGAAGTCAAACTTGACCAAAGTCTGACCAAAGCTGACCATGCAAACTTGACCAAAGTCTGACCATGACAAACCAAGTGGAGAGCATAAAGAACAAGGCAAAAAGAAGACTCCAACTTTTAAAGAAACTCGCAAGCAGTTCATGGGGATGAGACAAACTCTGAGAGGTCTATGTCTTGGTTATGTCCGATCTTCCCTGGAATACAGCAATGGCCTACTCACTATGTGCAGTACAACTACTTGCAATACCCTTGACAAGGTCCAAAATAATGCCCCTCGTTTCATAACGGTGGCATGAGATCTACACCTACTCAAATGTTGAACCTCTGGGAATTCACAGAGATGAAGCAGTTTTGGAGCTGCATGAAAGAACCAAAAGAATGTGCCCCAACCACCCAAACAGGAAATTAGTAGAAACATGGAAATCAAAGAAACAACTTCAACAAAAATCAATCTTGCATCACATCTCAAATAATACTACTGGAGAGTCACCATCTACCACGAAACAGAAAAGAAACCAAAAGAGTCAACCAAAACATTCCTCCCCACATTTCTTTGGAAATACCAATCGTAACAACATCTCTCAGAGACAATAGCACAAAATCTTCAGACCTCTTGCATCACATCAAACAGTCCACAGCTATTAAGATGACTTGATACCTATCCATTAGACGCCTCAGCATTCAAAGGCACAACCAAAACCGGATATGGAATACTAATGCAGTACCCAGATGGAAATTCCAATGAGATCTATGCAGCCTGTGGAGAAAAATGCAACAACTAAGATGCAGAAATGATGGCAATTGAGACATCACTATATCTTCTCCTCACAGTTTTTGACATTCATCCAAACAAAATGCAGAGTATTGTGATTTTCAGTCTTGCAAGCAATAGAAAATGACCATCATTTAAAGCAAAACTTGACACACATACTGTTTGGCTCACATCACCTAACAACATCCTGTGGCGTCAACTTGGTGATGCAGTGGATTCCCGGACACTCAAACATACCTGGAAATGACAGAGCAGACACTCGACAAAAGGGATCTAGACAGGAACAACCCAGCACTCCAACCTCATACAACACTGCAAAACGAATCATTAAAAGCAACAGCAAACAAGATTAGATGAACAGATGGGCCTTGGGAAAGACAGGCAGAGCAGTTTTAAAAAATATGACCACAACAAAACAAAATGACAATATCAACCACCTACTGAGAAAGAAACAGACCACGATCTTCCGGGTACGAACAGAACATATATAGCTCAACTTTCACTTGAACAGAATAAAACCAGAACTTTCCCCAGTGTGTCCTTTGTGTGACTATGCATATATGAGACTGTGGATCATCACCTGTTCCACTGTACAGCCCTGAATGACATCAGAGCTACACTTCTCCCTCTGAGACCTAACATTGACAACACACTCTACGGAACATCACAGCAACTGCAGCAGACCTACATGGCATTGGACAGAAGGGCGAGAGCCCAGCTTTTGCTTGATCGATTACAACAACACAACATCATCATTCACAATGGCACTTGATTTAGAGTCACTTTCATCAGAATAGTCTACTTCACTCTCACAATCCAGCACCACTTTTTGAAGTACTTCGTTGGTCGTGAACCCGTGTTTTCAAGACATTTTTCAAGCTTCACCCATCAAAAAACAAATAGACCACCATTCATTGGAAAATTGAAATATTCAGACCAAGTTAGCATTGCTGTATTTGTGTATTTTGGTAATTATGAGTAGAGATAGCTGTTTGATGTGACCGTATAGCTGTTCTGAGTTTATTCGTAGCCGGTCTCGTCCTCGTTACGAGTATACTCGTAGCCCGGATAAAAAGAGAAAAGGCTTTTGTGTTGTTAAAACATTTTTGTATAGAATCTCAGGTGTAGGAGCCTATGCAGCTTGGGAAACTCTTTTAAAAGTAGCCCCCTCTCTTTTAGAACTGGCTTTCCTATTGCTCATTCTGTTTTCATAGTTTGAATTGTTCTCATTAGGTTTTAAAAGGGAGTAGAGGATATGTCGTTGCACCTGTTGGAATGAGTCTTCCGTGGCCAAGAATGATACATTTTACCGAACTACCCTCAAGAGCTATATGTTATTCTCAGAAATTTAGATTTAGACATTTTTTACCTTTTAATCAATTATAAGTATGTCCATGATGTCATTTCTCTGTGTGTGGTTTCAATGTCGGTACCAAAATTTAGATTTTTAAGAACGCTTTATAGTTGCATAAACCTTATTATATCTCTAGTGATTTGAACTTCATTTTCTTTGGTCACACAGAGTGATAGTTATTGAATATAAATATTTTGTTTGTTGTTACTGTTGAGAAAAAGATTTTTTTGAATTGTTTACAACTCATGTCTTGTATGATATGTGTGATGTATTTTTTGTTTATGTCCCTGTCACAGATTGTTTTTATGACTTTCAAAACTTTTCTGTTCATGTCTGTCAATTCCAGGTTGTCAGTTTCTTCTTTCGGGAACTACAATTGTTCAATCTGGATGGTTGAGGAAGAAAAGCTTAAGAAACAAAATACAACTGAAGATTTTTAATTGTAAGTAGACAATGTTTTATTTTTGTGTGTCAGGTACAAGTTTTGATGTTCAGTGTCAAGGTCCACAGGGCTTCTCTCTTTCTTTTGTGCACTTTAGTTTTATACTCAAGGCTTTAAAACTTGGTACAGTTTAACTGCTGGGCAGTTTAAAACTTCAATACTTGTGAGAATATTTTCATTCTTGACTTTTTAATTTAAAAAGAAATATCTTTCCTTGAAAACCTTTTCCTTTTAAAATTTTCGATATAAAATTTTACATAGATTATAGATTGCCATTAGGTGTTCTTACCCTCTACTGGTCTTTGGATTGACAGTGTCGTTGGCTCTTTTGGCGTAGAGGTACGGTGTTCGCCTCTCATTCAGTTGGTCCTGAGTTCGAAACCTGACAGCGACAGAAAGTTTTTCTCTCTAAAATTTTGTCCTTTCTTCTCATTTACTGCTTTCTAATCATGTTCTGTCATCTAGTTTTATCTTCACTTTCTCCCCCTCTTTCTTCCCCCCTCTGGGCTCCTGACTCTTTTTACTGCTACTCCTGACTCCTTTTTACTGCTGTCTGTCAGCTACAACCCTTATTTTAGGGTAAATTAGATAGAATTCCTAGCCTTCTCAGATAAGGATGAAAAAATCTCAGAGGTCGGGTGTGCAAGTTGCGCACTTTAAAGATCCCTTTGTGGTCCAAAAATTTTCCCTACGTCCATTGTTTATCAATTATTATTTTTCTTGTTTTGTCATACTGTAAGCAGGAAAAAGTAACTGAAGAAATTTAAAACCACTCTTTTCCATTTTACAGGGCCTCAGATGTTTGTGGTAATAGCTGATAAATGTCTATACTACTTCAGCAATGAATTGGCTAAAAAGCCTGCCGGTGCTGTTTCTCTGTATGGCTTTAACAGGTGAGTTGTATTGTCTTCTCCTCCTGAGTGAAATGTGGGAAAAGCCATTAGGGTCATAGTAGCAGTCGTGCTTAATTTAATTAATTAGCTATTTTTTACCTAAGCTGTATAAACATACTCATCAGAAGTTGAAAAAAATGGGCAGCTACAAATGAGAATTAAGTTCAAATCCAAGTTGGGGTAAATATTTGAGTCTTGTATCTGACATGCAAATCGATATATGGTTTGCCAGTTCAACACTTTACCGCCTCATCTCGCCAATTGGCGATGTTTACCACCTAGTTTCTTTGGATTTCCCCCAAAATATGATGCCAAAGGGTTAAAAGTAGGAATTAATAAAAATTAAGGTTTAATTGCTACCTTTGAATTGTAATTCATCCTATCTTCATTGCCAGGATATTTTTTAATTGTTTGAGCAAAAGCAATCTTTTTCTCTTTATTTTGTACTGATTTATTCCCATCCTAAGTGACATATTGTTGACCAATTCCTGTTTTATTGTTAGGCAGAAGAGTATGCTCTTGTAGAAGTTTTGGAATTCTCCATTGTAACCAAATCCTCTCTTTTCTTCCACTTTTTTCTACTGTATTGTTGGTTTTTCTGGTGCTTCTTAAGGCCATCATGCAGGTATTTCTAACCAGTAGTCAGAAGCATCTGTTCAGTTGGCATTGTGGTGTTATGGGCCTAGTGGGTAGACTATTGGGCTTAGAAGTGAAAGGCCATGGGTTTGATTCCCATCAGGGGCCCAACATTGTGTCCTTGGGAAAGGCACTTCACATGAATTTTCCTCACTTCAGATGGGAATGGGTACCCGCCTATAGACGGCAGAGTTAAAAAAAAATTTTTTTTTGCATTTAATCAGCTGCACGCTATGCTTTCTGTGAAGCCAAGAATGTTCCTGAGTATTTTAGGGTCTGCTGGGGTAATGATATTGATAGTAAAGCACATCAAGCTTGCCGTTGAGCTGGAATATGCTCTACTCAAGTGCTTTTAATTATGATTATTTTTGCAAAAGTGCATGGAGACAACCGTAAATACACATTTCAGGCATTTGAGTCTTCAATATATATATTTATAGTGGTCTCCGCCTAAGAACCCAGTCTTTGGGAAGCACAAAAAGCAGGTTCTAAGGAAGATTTGAAAGAAAATATCCCATATCCCTATTGCGTTTTAATGAGATAGGTAACATTACCGTTCTTGTACTAGCCTGGCTTTAAAAAGGGCCCCTTTACGCCAATGAAAAGGCGGTATTTAATCATCAATCTTTCTGCAAAGCATTCGAATGCATGGGTGTCAATTTTGAACCAGGGGACCTCGCATTCCGACTGCGAGGCGCTTCCCTTTCCACGGCGATTCTCCAGCTCCAAATACCCAGATATAAAAACAGCTTGCACTATTATAACGAAGAAAATCTGAACTTTTTCAAAGTGTTCAGTATTTGGTGTTTTATAGCCAAAGAGCAAAGAAACAGATCTGAATTACCCCATTTCACCGAAACCACGCGCTGGGAAGGCCGCGAGTCGGCTTACGTGCCGTGCTTACGCTACCTAATTACAGTGGAAACCTGATATAACAGGGATGGTGGGAGTAGAGAAAATGTCCTGCTATATCCGATCCCTGTTAAATTAGAAATGCAAAGGAATGTAAGCATTTGTGGACTAATCCAGCTGTACTTATTCGAGGGTAGTTTCCCTTGCCACAAGTACCCACGAACTGGGGTTTTGGCACCAATTTTCTCCTTGCCTCCTTAAACCACATCAGAAGAGCTTGGTCCTCGGCATCTGCATCGGGTAGTCTCATCTTCTTTCGATCCAGAGCAAACTTTTCATTGGAGTATGCTGCCACTATCTTCTCTCTATCCTTGATAATGGTGTGAATCGACCATTGTGAAATGTTGAACTGACGACAAATCTCTGCCAGTGGAGCTTGCTTTTTGTCAACAGCCTAGATTATTTCGTATTTTTGTCAATTGAAAGGCATTTTCTCTAGTGCTTGACATCGTTGGTGACACATTACGCGTGCGTGTTGCTAGGTTTCAGGCGAGATCGATGTCTGCAGCACACCGCAGCCCTCTCTCGCTTCACACGCTGCGTGTGCTTGCAGTGGCATGGCTTGCGTGGGCTTGCTCCATCACTGCGTTACTCTCTCTCTCTCTCTCTCTCTCTCTCTCTCTCTCTCTCTCTCTCTCTCTCTCTCTCTCTCTCTCTCTCTCTCCCCCTCCCTCCCTCCCTCCCTCCCTCCCTCCCTCCCTCCCTCCCTCCCTCCCTCCCTCCCTCCCTCTCTCTCTCTCTCTCTCTCTCTCTATATATATATATATATATATATATATATCTATATCTATATCTATATCTATATATATATATATACATCTTACTTTTTACGCATTGTTAACGAGCCTTTGTCCCTGCTATAACCGGTTGGGCTCTGATGAGGCCCTGTTATTGCCGATAACTTTTAATAGAGACAAAGAGTAGGAAAAAACGGGGATTTTAAAAACCCTTGTTATTACTGGATCCCTGTTATTACTGGACCTGTTATATATGGTTTCCACTGTATGCGTTTGCAATAGCACCATAAACACACGAGAGCGCACACACGCACACACACACACACACACACACACACACACACACACACACACACACACACATACACACACATACAAACACACACATGCAAACACACCAACACACATACACACATGCTCATAGATCGCCTCGGTGGCCTCTTGGTAAGGATTCCGCTCTGAGAGATCCAGAGGAAGGTTAATTAATCTTTGAAAAGCTCTAAAACACAATAAAAAACGACTTTTTAAAGTCAATATAAGTGTAAAACTGAAAGATCAACAGGCGATAGCAGCTAGCAGGGCACGCCCACACGATCAGCTGTTTACATATACAAGCTTGAAGTGCGCTAGAAGTTTCTGTTTTTACTCCGTTTTACCAGTCAGTTGTTTACATTTCAGACCATTCATGCTTGAAAAGGGGTCAAAATCTAAAAATAGTTGCGAATGAAGAACGTTAGAGCATCTTTGGAGAATCTTTGGTTGAAGAAAAGGTGGCCATGAGGTAATGGTTCTAAAATTAATCTCCCAGCGACACACTAGGAAGGTCCAAATTCCTTTATCTTGTCACCCAAGCTCACAACAAACCACTCACACCTCCAAAATAAATCAAAATAAAATGTTTATAGTCGATATAGCTGTTTATTATTTATCTTAAATAAAGCAGAAGACATCAAACTTTCAATATATTCAACAACAATTTTTTTTAATGGAAAGTCTCTTTTTTGTCTTTTGAACCTCGTAGCTGATAATAGTATACTGTGTCTTACGACTGATATTGAGCGCGGCAGACAGATATGAGGGGCTGAGGTGCAAAATCGGCTACATCCGTATTAGGACTTTTGAGAAAATCAGCTTTTTTTAATGCTGCTATACGCACGAGCATACTTAAAAAGAAGATTTTTTTGGTGGCTTTCATGAAGCGTGTGTTGGGTTTTGGCCGAAAACACTTTGTGCATCTGATAGCCAGTAACACTGTGCATTTATAGGCAAAAAGTCTCGATTTTTCCAAAATGTCCCTTAGCGGGTTTTGCATCTCACCCCCTCTTTTATACATAGAGTGGTTAACGCTTTCCGGACATAGTTTTTTTTGGGTCTAGACATAATTAACTTGTGGCTCGATTTGGCTATGCAGGTGGTGTACAAAATACTTCATAGAAGCATAACAACCATCACTCAAAACGTAACATATGATACATCAAATTGAATGAGGAATACATCCCAATATGAAACAAGGATTAATTTTGAACATAAGTATGCATTAGAAGGGTTAGAAATGGCGATGGTGATGAGAAAAATAAATTTTGACGGAAAAAATTACATTCACCAAACATGTGAAAGCAAATCAACAGAGCTATCTTTTCGTATACAGGCCAAGAGCATAGTCCATAAATTTATGAATTTGCAGCTTTTTATTTGAAAGCGATATTCCAATTTTTGTTTGAGTTATGATATTTATACTGAGTTTGGTTACATTGTTTTGTTGATGCAAGACCGCAAGAACTAATTCACTCCTCTTTCCCAAACCCACGCTTTGACAAAGTGAAACTAGATGTTTTCGTTTCCTAAATCCTTTCAGAGCTTTTCAATAGCTATAAAAAGTAATTATAAATGACGGGTCGCGTTAAAACGAAACAATACTGAGGCACCCTTTCATAGCCGATACGTCCGGAAAGAGTTAAGTAGAATCCTTAGTAAAAGTTAATTACCCCTTACTCGTATTTCAAACGGGGCTTTTAGTTGATTTCTATTTTTATAATGAGTTTTAACGCACACAAATTGTAGAGAAAAAAACTTTGTTACACGGCAAAAGCGGACTCTCAGGCAGATGGGATTTTTACACAGCTTGTTCTGAGGTGGAGACCACTGTATTTGTTTCCTTTTTTTTAACTTCTTGAAGACTTATATTGACTAGCATCAACTGTCTTGGCCTTTGCCAGAGATTTACTTATAATTAAAGGATAGTAACATAGACTCATGTGAGCATCCTACCGCATTGTGTTCACATTGAGTCCACCAGTGAATATTATATAACACTATGAATGTTTTTCATCCATGTATGAAGTAACATATGTGAGTTTGATGCTTTGATATCAACAGAATCATCAGATTTAGACAGGAACATCCAAATGATCCATCCTGGGCTTTCAAACTCGAGCATGTTCAACCTGACATGCGTTCTTTCTACTTTGCAGCCTCATCGGAACATGAATTGATTGTAAGTTGTTTTTGATTCGAACAATAGATTTAAGTTTTGTTTATTAAACAATTTTAAAACGATAAGTAGAATTAACTGAAAACTTTGAAAAGGGGAACATGCTGGGTATGTTGTCTAATGATGGCTGCTTGGTTGTAAATGTGTTTCCTGTGAGGATGGAACTGTTCAATAGCCAGTTGATATTCCAAGAGTGTTTGCTCCTTTTTCTTGCGCAATCTCTCTCTTTCTTGCCCTTTTTAACTCCCAGTGGAGCATAGGCCATCAGCAACATTACTCCAGCGAAGACTGTCCTGTGCATCCTTTTCTAGCTGTTTCCATGATGTCCCCGCTTTTTCAATTTCCACTTGTACCGCGCCCCTCCATGTCATCTTTAGTCTTCCCTTCTTACGTTTTCCTTGTGGGTTCCGTGTCAAAGCCTGCCTGATGATGCTTGTGGGGGGTCTCCTCTGTGTGTGTCCAATCCATTTCCATTTCTTCACCTGTATGTCTTCCTTTACTGGCCTTTGGCTTGTTCTTTCCCACAGTTGAGCATTTGTGACTCGATCGTACCACTTGATTCCCACTATCCTTCTTAGGCATCCATTTACGAAGCTCTGCAGCTCCCTTGCTGCTGGTGCTGTGAGCCTCCATGTCTCTGAACCATACAGTAGAACAGTCTTCACATTTGCTTGGAAGATCCTCAGCTTGGTGTTCTATCCCAGTTCCTTAGACATCCATATATTCCTGAGAATGATGAATGCTGCTCTTGCATTTTGGATTCTGACCTTGATGTCTTCATCTGTTCCCCTAGCCTTGTTGATGACACTTCCCAGGTAGGTAAAGGATTCAACATCCACCAATGGTGCCCTTTGCAGTGTGAAAGAAACGTCGGCTGCATTCATTCGAAGAACTTTCGTTTTATCCGTGTGAATATGGAGTCCAACTCTACGTTAGAAGGTCCTGAGGTGATCTGTTTTCTGTTACATCTGGGCTCGACTGTGAGAAAGAAGTGCCAAGGCGTCTGTAAAGTCCAAGTCTTCCATCTGACTGGAAAGGGTCCACTGCATGCCTCCGGGTTGTCCCAATGTTGTCAGTCTCATTATCCAATCCACTGCTAATAAAAAGAGAAAAGGCAATAGCAGGCATCCCTGTCTCACTCCTGTATTCACTTCAAACAAGTCTGTCCGCTGCCCTCCAAGTAAGACACTGCTGCTCATTCCCTCATACATCTTCTTGATCAATCTCACGAACTTGTCAGGTATTCCGTAGTGGCGCATGAGCTTCCATATTGAGTCCCTATCTAGGTTGTCAAAAGCTTTCTCGTAGTCAACAAAGTTAACGTACAGGGAAGAGTTCTACTCTGTGGACTGCTCCACTATTATCCTCAAAGTTGCAATCTGATCTGTACATGATCTCTTTTTACGAAATCCTGCCTGCTCCTCTCTTAGTTTTACATCAACAGCTTCTTTCAGTCTTTCCAGTATGGTACGACTTTAAATCTTCCCAGGAATGGACAGGAGCATGATTCCTCTGTAGTTTTTACACTCATGCAGGTCTCCTTTCTTGGGTAGTTTCACAAGCAATCCCTCTCTCCAATCCTGTGGAAATTCTTCGCTGTCCCATATCTTGCCAATAATTCCATGAAGAATCCCTGATGCAGTGTCGATATCCGCCTTGAGAACTTCTGGGGGAATTCCGTCTGGACCAGCCACCTTGCCTGCTTTCTGGTGTCTTATCGCCTCCTTGATCTCCTCTAAATTAGGCTTTTCTTCACTCACCCCAGATCAATCTCTGCTAGTGGAATGTCAAACCGTTTTTCTGGCCTTGGTCTGTTCAGTAGCTCTTTGAAATGCTCCTTCCAGCGTTCTTTCTGTTCGTCTGGATTTATGAGAAGTTTTCCTTCTTTATCCTTCACTGGCACATCTGCGTTCTTGTATCTGCCTGCAAGTTTCTTGGTGGTTTCGTACAGTCCTCTCATGTTTCCTGCCCTGCTGTTTCCTCTGCCTTGCGCGCAAGGTCATCTACATAGTTTCTTTTGTCTTTCCGTACGCTGACTTTTACATCTTTCATTGCTTTGGTGTATTATTCTTGAGCCTTTGCTTTGGCTGCTCTTGTCTCGCTCCTGTTTACCTGATCCTTTTTCTTTTTCTTGTCCTCTATCGTCCTCAGAGTGGTGGCAGATATCCACGGCTTTTGCTCACGTTTCCGTTTCCCCAGTTCCTCTTGACACACAGTGGTCCAGCCTTCTTTTATTGCCTCCCATGTTTCTTCCACGCTGCTATCCTCCCCTAGTGTTTCCAACACTTGGAACCTGTTCTTAACTGCTACATTAAACTTCTCTCTTGACGACGGCTCTCTCAGAAATTCTCCGTTGTACCGGTACCTATGATTGACAATTCCCTGTCTTTGCTTTAGTTTTAGTCGGATTGTTGAAATGATCAGATGATGGGCCGAAGCTACGTCTGCACCCCTGTAAACTCTAACATCCCATATTGATCTCCTAAATTTCTTGTTGACTAATATGTGGTCAGTCTGGTTTTCAGTTTGTTGGTCTGGCGACACCCATGTTGCTTTGTGTATCTGTTTATGTTGGAAAACAGCCCCTCCTAAACAGCCCATTTGTTGCACATATTTTTGCAAATAGTTCTCCATTCTGGTTTTTTACTCCAAGTCCGTGTTTCCTCAAAGCCTACATTGTCACTGCCTACCTTAGCGTTGAAGTCTCCCATTACAATCAAGATGTCCTTTCTTCTAACCTGATCAATAGTATTTTGTAGCATTTTGTAGAAAGTCTCTTTCACATCCTGGTCCTTATCATTGGTGGGGGCATATCCCTGACAACATGAAGGTTGATGTCTTTCTTCTGTGAACGGAATTCAGCTGATATTAGTCGCGGACCCTCTGCTTTCCATCCTATCAAAGCCCGTTTGGCGTGTGTTGATAACAGAATACCTACTCCTTCTGTATGTTGCGAGTTTTCCTTCAGATGTTCAGAGTAGAGAACTGTTTCCCCTGAAGGAAGTTGGCACTCCCCTGCATTCATCCATCTTGTCTCAAAGAGACCCAATGTGTCCAGTTGGTCGGCCTCCATCTCTCTTGCAACCTGCCGTGCCTTCCCAGCCTCGTACATTGTACCAACATTCCAGGTGCCAAGTCTGGTGCTTATTCTGGTCGACAGGAGGTTTCTCGGCTTGGTGGCTTCCTTTCGGCTTTCACCACGCTGCGTCATTCTACACTCCATATTCTCTCCTCGGTGATGAAAGTCATCCAACTTCCAGAACTGGCGGTCGTATTGTTTTTGCTGTTGATGTTTTTGTAGCTGCTTTTTGTTTTACGGGAAAGGGTTGCTAACCCTTTGCCCAACCGACCTTAGTCGCCTTCTACGACATGTGTGGTACGGATACAGTGGTCCTATTCTTTGCTCCCCTGTCTATTGGACAGGGCCCCGAGAACCGCACGAGTGTTTTTGGTGCAATAACAATTTTGTTCCGCCCCCCCCCCCCCCCTAAATATGTGATTGTACAGATACTTTCAGTATTCCAGTAAAACTTCTGTATGTCAGATGTGGAATTTTAAAAGGTAATTATAGAGTGACTAGAGTTCACTTAGTGAAGGGGAGCTTACTGGCTATGTCATTTGATGCTGAGGACTGCTGGGCAGTGTTCTTCTGTTGGAATGTGACTGAATTATTATATACTTTTGAACCTGCCATGACGACCACTTGTACAAATGGCCTCTTTCCATATTCTCCTTGTGTTTTTTCTATATAATCTCACTGTGTAAGTCGGGCTCCTATCCACCACGGCCACCATATTTTGACAATGATCTGCCGAAATTACTTGTCTGAGACAGCCACCCAAATTTTTCATAGCACAACCCTTTGTCATAAATTATATTTTGGCCCCTGATGCTGTTGACGAGCAGTCATATTCCATTCACCTATCGTTACTGTTAGACTCTCCAATGTCAAATCTTTTTGGGTAGGTATCACTCACTGTTGTTTACCTAAGTAGTTGACCACCTGGTAGCAATACGTTTTCAGCTGCTGGTGGCGGAAGTGTGTGGTCCACCATGACCTAAAAAAAGCCCTGCCCATAACTCATACTCATCGTAAGTGAGGTGACCGGTTACTGTATACCCTGTCTTTTACAATGGATGGATGTGAAAATGAACTCGCGACAGAAGCGTTGATGGTTCTGCGAGTGATGGCGACCCATTAAAAAAATCTTACCTTGTCTTCCTCGTCTGACAGATATCGTGTTGTTTTACTCGTGGACTGTCTTCGTAATTTGTAAAATTTAACATTAATTACAACAGTCATAAGACTTCGTCTCTCTACCTAAACAGAAATGTTTCACACATTCAGATAAAATCTAACTGTTTATAAATGTGTCATTTAGAAATGTAACCCATGTTCTGAGCTTGGCAACCGATTCCAGTTGGAAACTCAAAAGTGAATGTATAAAAAAAAGAACAACCCTCTTCCCCTTAAGGGAAAAACAAAGAGACAAAAAAACCCAAAGCCAGCATCAACATCCACAAAAACCTTCCTCCCCCCCCCCCCACAAAAAAAGACAAAAGAAAAATAAAACCACTATAATATATAGTATTAATTAGCTTTAAAGGCAGTCCTAAGCCTATAACCACCTCCAGTTGGGAGATCAAAAAGGAAGGGTTTGTTTTCTTCATTTTCCATTTTCTTTAGTTCTGCGTACGATGGCCATGTGTCTTAGACGGCCACTTTTCTCCTTGACAATTGGTGGTCATCTTACGCAGGTTTGACTGTAAATGTCTGTGCAATAGTGATTTTTATTTGTCTGCTTACTTTTGAATTCTTTTTTTGTTAGTCAGGGAAAACTGGTATTTAAAAAGAATTCTATGTAATTGGTGTGAAGTGATGCATCATCATGTTGACAAAATCTTTAGAAATGGGTGGTTGGCGGGTGCTCTGGTGTGGTTTGCTTCTTCTTTCCTATGAAACATCTATCGTCCTTATCTCCCCTTCTTCTTTTTATGTTTGTTACTCTCTTGTTGCGAGCGCCGTAAAACCTCTACTAAAACTAAAACTAAAAATCTTTAGAAAGTTGCCTTTTTTGTTTTTTGGCCAATTGTTAGGACACTTATAGATTTAAGTAGAAAATAAATCCTTTGAGATGTGGGCTAATTATTCATCTTTGTAATCCTCAAGTCAGAGGATACCCACACGGGAGAAGATATTTTATCTCTATTTTTTTGCTTGCATAGTGCAGGTTCATTGTAACAGGTAGAGTTGGAACAGCCTGTCTCTTATATGTTGATGGGAGGGGTGGGGTGGGGGGTACAATTTTACAATTTTAAATCTTAAAGAAAAGATTATCATTTGTCTTATTTTTTAGACTTATATTTTCCTTCGACATATTCTGTGAAATAAGTAAATGACTGACATTTTCTGATGGAAGTTACATTGAAGCAAAAGGAAGAGTCATTTTGAAAGTTTTGTAGGGCTTTTAATACACAAGGAAAAGGTAACTGCATGGTTACTGAAATTTTCTCTGAAAGCGTTTTTGCTGTTTTGCTAAAATGATCTGTTTACACTGATTCAATTTTTTTTTCTTCTACAGAAATGGATGAAGGTTATAAAGCAAGAGATGCTAGTGGCCAACAATAGATCTTCTACACGGTAGGTTGTTTCATAAGAACACAATTGTATTTTTTATGTGTCATTGAAACTGTAGTTCCTGGTGATGACAAATTGTTTGTATGAAGCACCGTGAACACACTGTTGGTTTGTGAACATATCGGGTAATTTATTGCACACTTTTGCATTATTTGATTTGTTGAAATTTTGAGTTGATCTCGAGGGCATGGCTTAACCCTTTGCAGAAATTTGATCTCAGGCCATCTTGGCAATATTATTGAAAGAGTCCAGTAAGAACCTTTGCCTTTCCATCATAGAATACTTATGCATTGTTTAAAATGTATGAAATCATAATGTTGACCCTGCTTACTGGGAGAGAGAAAAAATATCAATTGTTTTGTAATTTCGTTGACATTTAATGCATTCAATTAAAAAGTGGTGAGCAGGTGATAAATACATAGTACTTGTGTGCTCCATAAAAAGATTTGTGAAGGGTGCTGACAAAATGAGTTACTTCTCGCAATCAAAGAATGTAGATATTTGCCAAAAATCGACACAAAGGTCATATTTATAGATTCTAAACCAGTGCCATTCTCTTCAAGTTAACATGTCTTTTATTATTTCATACTAATAGATTGTAAAAGCTCAACCTATAAATTTGACCATCTATTTCCATCGGTCTGACCTGACCATCAATGATTTATTTATAAAGGCACCAGCCATCCATGTCCAGGTTTAGCCTCTTTTTCCTGTATGCGGATTAATATCTTTTTGCCAATTTATTGGTTGGGCTTCCATTTTCCCCATATCTATGGTTCTCAACCTGGAAATCGCCTATAATTCGCTGTAATTGCCTCCCCCCCTCCCGCCACTACTCCTTCTGTATGTTGCGAGTTTTCCTTCAGATGTTCAGAGTAGAGAACTGTTTCCCCTGAAGGAAGTTGGCACTCCCCTGCATTCATCCATCTTGTCTCAAGGAGACCCAATGTGTCCAGTTGGTCGGCCTCCATCTCTCTTGCAACCTGCCGTGCCTTCCCAGCCTCGTACATTGTACCAACATTCCAGGTGCCAAGTCTGGTGCTTATTCTGGTCGACAGGAGGTTTCTCGGCTTGGTGGCTTCCTTTCGGCTTTCACCACGCTGCGTCATTCTACACTCCATATTCTCTCCTCGGTGATGAAAGTCATCCAACTTCCAGAACTGGCGGTCGTATTGTTTTTACTGTTGACGTTTTTGCAGCTGCTTTTTGTTTTACGGGAAAGGGTTGCTAACCCTTTGCCCAACCGACCTTAGTCGCCTTCTACGACATGTGTGGTACGGATACAGTGGTCCTATTCTTTGCTCCCCTGTCTATTGGACAGGGCCCCGAGAACCGCACGAGTGTTTTTGGTGCAATAACAATTTT